TTGATTTCACTCTGGATATAAATTTGTTTTTTGAAGAACACCTATCTCAGCTTAGCAACTGGTTTCAAAACAAGGATATTATTTGGTGAAATTCATATGAATTCAAGACTCATTTGCATCAGTCTGAAAATTTAGTCTGTCATACTTTTCCCTTTGGCCTGACTTCCTTTGCTGATGTCACTAGTGTTTTCCTCAAGGTATCCCATTTTGAGTTACCAACCTCATTTGATATTTGTCCTTAATTATATCAGCATATATATCTCTGTCTACAAATTGAATTCTTCTAGAATCTGTTGTATTTTATGTTTCTTTACTTTTCTTATTTTTCACTATTATCTGTTTCTTCTTCTGTTGGTGTATAAACAATTTTGATTGTTATAATACATAGTTTCCCTTACAATTCTACTAGAATAAATCTGTCTAACATTTGACAGTGTTGCAGAACACATTCCCTCATCTTTTATCTAATATCAGGTCGATATTTTAATCTTCTTCTTGTCTGCAAATATGATTCCATGTTCATCACTTTTGAAGTTTCCATTGTTCATTCGTCTCATTTCACATACTTTAGCCTTTCCATTTCATGTTTGACAATTTCTAACTTTCCACATTGTTATAGTGACCTAACTTGTCCATGTTATTATTTTGTCTTTATTATGAACAATCACTGCATGAAAATCAGGCAACCTTTGTCACATTTTTCCTTGTATAGGCCATCGTCAGTTCTAAGGGAGCTGACTCCCTTCATGTTGTTTTCTGCTACTTTTGAGTTATGTACTGCCATAATTGTTCCTAAGATGGATAGTGGAGTAGTTTCCTGTTGTTTTCTCCATAGTGACTATTGAAACACCACTTCTAGACAGCTGGATATTGACCCTTTTGACATCATATACTCTTTGTTAGGTCTTATTATTCATCTTACAGAGTGGCTAATCACTTTCCTCGCCCCTTTTGAAGTGAGTAGGGATTTAGTTTAGCCAGAATCTAAAAACAAAAACAAAACTACATTCATTTGCATCCCTATTCAGAAACTGTCACTAGTCACTTGCCTAAATGTAGCAAAAGAAATGAGGTGGAATAGGGATTGGGATAAAAGTAGAGGGTCCTCCCCTTGGTTTGTTTAGGGTTTAGGCTTCTCTGGTTTCTAGTCTCTCATACTTACAATTGATTACCACTAAAATCTGTCAAACATTTTCTTCCACTTAACTAAAGAAATAAAAAAATAAAATAAAAAAGCATTCTTTTTTTCACCTTAAATTGGATTCCAACAGTAGTTCTCTGATCTGTTCTTTGATTTGACCATAGCAAGTCAACAGGGAAAAATAAAAATTCATCATATTTGTTTTAGTTATGAACAAAGATTTTGACAAGCCAGAAAACTCCATCGAACCTAATAATCATGAATTATTTGTTTGAATTTAAATTAATTAAATTATTTGTTATATTAATAAATATTAAGTAAACAAAGTAGAATATTATGAAAAGGCATTCAGTAATTTTTCATTTTTAAGAAAAATTAACTTTTTATAGCAAAAGGAAGTGAAATCATTTTAAAGGAGATGATCAATTTATAGTGTCTGTAAAACTAGAATCTTACTTTGTATTTGTTTCAATGAACCACTGATGTTCAATTTACAATTATCCGCTTACACTGTTGTCATGTCCATAAAAAAATAAAAATTAATTAATTATAATTATCATTAATTCACTCAATCTAAACCAATGAGAATTGACCCCACTTTTCTCCCTACACACACAAACATGTGACATTCTCGCAATTGGACAAGCAATTCATACGGACAGGTTGTTAACATATGTCAATGAAAATTTCATCTGCTTTTTCAGGCCATTTCAGTAACATTTATCACTTAGCACTCAACAAAAATTCTTATATTTTCTAACTAAATTATCTGGACTCTCATTACACACATCTATAAAAAAAAAAACATATGAGAAAGACTGTATACACTTTATTTATTCTTTATCTTATCACTAGCAGCATGGCCCGGCGTTGCCCATGCTTGATTCAAAAATTGTATGACTCATATAGCAATTGCTATCACTTGACTTAAAATATTTTTGCCCTTCCATGCCTTTAAAGGAGTGCCCTTTGCCATGCTGATGTTGCTACATGCCTTACTTCTTGCCTAACTGGAAAAACCGAATGAAAAAAGTATGTTAACAACAAATATTTTTTCACACCCAACCCAGTTCTGCGGAATCAGAATCAAGCGAATGAGCCAATTGGAGTAAAGTGCCATGCAGATTTAAATTTTTCCCACTTGTGACGAATGCAGGTATTGATTTTTTTTGCATGCTAGCATGCTAGTTAACATTCATGTCAGTCAGCTGTTGGCTCTCACGCTGGCCAGTAGAAAATGGCCGCAAACTACATGAAAACTGCAGTAGAAGCCTGAAAAAATCAATTATTTCCATTATCGATGGGAGTTGGGAAGTGCAAAGTCAGTCTTAGCCTTCCCGCTAACTTGGAGCATGTGCATGTAAATTTTGGTGCAAATCCATTGAAAATTGCGGCCATGCATTCATTACACACACACACACACATCCTGCCTTATATATATATATATATATATATATATATATTGTATTTAGCACATTTTATTATTTTAGCTGTTGGTAGGGAGAGCTTTACCTTTGATTGTGGTAGATGCTATTTTCAGTACCCTAATTATTTTATTAGATGCTTTTGTCAGTACCCTAATTATTTTTTTTTTGGGGGGGGTAAGCATTTCACCCCAAGCAAGCAGAAGTACCATTATCATACAGGGGGTTATGGAGAGTGAAAACGAGAGAAAAGTGTGGGTTTAGGGGGGGTGAAGAAAGGAAAAAAGAACAGGTATCAACACAACAAAACATAGTGACTGATGTTGCATTTAGGTTTTTGATGATTGTAGTTATCAGGGACACAAGATAGAGGAATGGAGTTCCAATATGGAGAAGTGCGAGGAAAGAAACTGTTAGAAGGGTGGTTACATTTAACTATTTCAACAGTAAAATGTTGGGACCTAGATGCCAATCTAGTAGTACACTTAAATTTATGTAGTCAAGGCACCAGGGAAAAAATGCTCATCAGTGCAGTAGCCATGAAAATATTTGTAGAAAAGACAGAGGCAAGCCACATCACGTCTGTGAGAAAGCGGCTGAAGTCAAGAAGCTAATTCAGTACCGATTACATTACAGATCTTACTTTAGATTTTTTTGAGAATATTGCAGTAAGGGAAGGTAGGGGAAAATTTTATGGATAAAACTTTAACTGCGCAACCAGTAATAAAAATCACAGAAATTCAATCTATGTTGTTATTCATTTAAACATCATCATCATTTAATAGTAAAAAAAAAAAAAAAAAATATATATATATATATATATATATATATATATAATATATTTAAAGCAATAATAATAGTAATAAAAGTAATAGACACATACATATATACATACATATATATATAAACTTACTTAGTTACAAACCTAATATATATTTTCAGTGTTTGATGCAAAATAAATGTCTATTTTAAGACTATATAAACTTATTTTTATGATGACATTTAAGGATAAATTCTGGTTCAATAACTGGCTTGTATTTTTTTGTACTTAATTATTTTAATTTTTTCTTCCAGGCATTCTTTTTTTTTATATATATATATATATATATATATATATATATATATATATATATGAATTAAGATCAAATATAGATAGGAATGCAATTTTTTGTATTCTGTTTTCTTTTAATTTCTTCTTTCATATTATTGTCTCTTCCTCTGTATATTTATTTACGAGGGTCGGCCAGGTGAAGGTGAGGGGGGGGAGCATGTTGCTCTACCCCGGAGCCAAATTGCTTGGTGGAAGAAATCAGCTGTATTTATGTCAGCTGCTGTTAGTATCGTAGCTGGTTAGCAATATCTTTTGGTTGATGACTAAAAATTAACTTCCGCATTTTCACTATACACATGGGTTTCATTTGGACACCATGTGTATTTAAAGTAGTTTCCGGTTATTATTTTTAGTTAGGAGGACTTGTGTATGTTAAGGTTTCATTTGTTTACTTTTTGTGCATCGTTCCCTGAAAAAAAAATGCCGAGTCACCGGAAGTTAACGGCATTCGGACGTTTGAGTAGCTGGCAGTAACTTCCGGCTGGGTGTGATACCCTTAACCGTGCTTTCAAATTGATTTCATGCAAAAACAATTGTGTTTTTCCAATTTTTGGCACTGTCAGAACCACCGCCAGGTAATTTTACATAGTCCTGAGAAGTTTTGTTGAAATCGGTTGAAAAATGTAGGAAATACGATCCCAGATATAAATGTACAGACACACACACACACACAATCTGTGTTTTATAATAAGTAAGATTCTGTTGGATTCTAATCCATAATTGATGCACATTTGACTCTAAACTCACAATTTTACAAAGTATTACAATCTCTCAAAAAGAAAACATCACATAACAACCAGATAATAAATAGCACTCATTTTTTTTTTTTGTTTCCACATCTTGCTGTTTCTCATTTTTATGAGTATTTTTGTATATATAAATGTTAGGGGGTTTATAATTATTTACTCAGAGTTATAATTCCCCTACATTGTTAAAAATAAATACAACTATTTCCTCATTTTTATTTTCTTTTTTTCATGTTTGCTGGTGTTTTTATTTTATTTTCTTCTTTTCTTTCTTTTTTTTTTTTAACAAAGTAAAATAAATACATTTATTCATCATTTTCTGGGTTTGGATGTCATGCAAAAATCCTTATAAACCAAGAGCCCTATGATGCAAAAACGTTTGAGAACAACTGCAATGGAGTATACACAACATTTGGGTAAATTTAGCCAGACAGCTCACAAAGAAAAATCCCATGGCTTTGCAACTTTTTATACTAAAGATGTTTAAGAACTTGATTAATAAAAGGTTAGTAGTAGTGGCTTCCAATTTTGTAAACACACTTTCTACAAACTGTATAAGAAATATTAAAATAGCTAACCTTTAGAAAGTGAAGATTTTCATCAGTCATGGTAATCACTTTAAGATGGGCATCCAATTTATTAAGGTGTCTTTTAATATCTTCATTTCTCTCTTTACTAATTTTATCTTCTTCTTTCATTAATCTCAGTTGTCTTTGAAGTCTGGTAGCTTTTTCTTTGGCACTAATTATGCAAAAGAAAGAAATTAACAAATATGTAAGAGGCTATAAATTATTCACACAATAGAAACCATATTACAAATTGTTCACTTAGAAACAAGAGAGATGTTTTTGAGATTAAACAAAACTTTACCAGTTTACTTTTTGTGACCATAATCATACATTTTTGTGAGTACAATATATCACAATATTTTTTATTATTCAGAAGAAAAAATGTTAATTGTATTCATTGAGGAATAACTGCAGAATGAATAATGGAAATGGCTATGAGTAAGTGCAAGCCTCACTTTCCAGTTAGAAACTGACAGATGAAGAGTCATCAATGTTGTTTGTGGTGAAAGCTGTGTACTGGAACATTTGCTGTTCATGGTGATTCATGGAGAGACCTCCAAAAGGCAAACAAATTCCCAGTTGATGGAAAATATGATGTTAGCAAAATTAATCTTTTCCTGCTTCCAATCTTACAGATTTTCAAGAAGAGTGTTGTTTTTTATTAAAAGACCTTGAACTGAACCACCTTAAAAGACATATAGAAGAGAAGTAAATTCCCATGAAATGTGAACTCTCCTTTTGTGAGGAATATTTGTCATCTCTTTGTTCTACTAAATATGACACATTTGGTGCATATTCAACAAAAAAATGAAAATTACTTTTTTCACTGCAAATTATTCATTATATCATATCCAAATATTTTACAAAAAATTACATCTGATTACACAATATTTTATTATTGTTACATAATTATAGTGAAATCATTAAGGTTTTTTGTCAAAAGCATTTTATTTTTGGTCATATATTAATTTAAAATATTCCTTTTTACAGGCTTTATTTTTTAAATGGAATAAGATCATTCTAAATTTCAGAATTTCGCTATTGCCCATAAAAATGCCTGGATGAAAGTGATCTAAAAAACAACAATGAAAAATAGAGGTAACAAAGCGTAAACAAAACATAGCTTTGACCTGCTGGAACCATGTTTGAACATTCACACTGAAGTCAGGCAAGGTTAGCTTGAGTGAAGACTCAGTTTCCTTGTCACTTCATTCTAACATACTGTTTTATATAGAACACATGTGGGGAAAGAGAGACTTACATGCCAAAATGTAGCTCCAATGAAAAGAACTGGAATTATTGAAATTTCTGGTAAAGCTGGTTGAGAGAGATTGTTATGGCAAGAGAATCACACACAAGGTTCTAAAATGTTTTTTAGTAATTGAGCATATTGTAAAGATCAAATTTGACAGAGAGAAAATGTGTTCCTGTAGTCGATGAAATACGCTGTAAATTCAAGTGTCGATGAAGTAAGCCAAATACTTTAGAACGTCATGGTTACCAATTAATTATGTAGTACAGCAAAAAGGATAACCAATAAATTCAGGTAGTCGGGGTTAACAATAAATTTATGTTGTGGATCTAAGAAGGTTGCATGAATGTTTTAAATGTTTCGCTGTTAATGAAACATGCAACATCCGCAAACATAAATTTAAGTAAAAAATCAAATATTAACGATATTCAATTATGACAAAAAGGATAGCTTTGGGACAACAAATATATTTTTATATGCAGAATATTACAATTTTGTTTTGTAAAGATGTGTGCAAAAGCTTGATCAGAGTATTTTAAGAGAAAAGTTCTTCTTTGGAAATGTTTTGTATGTTTGTAATGTAGTTTGGAAAATTTTGTATATATATGCATGTGTGAATATGTTTTCATAAGCGTCTGACTGCATATGGTCAAGACGCAAATCCTTTAAGGTTAAATTTTCATAGGTGAATGAAATCAAGAAAGAGAGAGAGAATAAACTCGTGTCTGATATTTATAATTAATGTAACCACGTGACAGGTTCCTGGAAAAAGAGCAGAAAAACTTGACTTGGTCACGTGCTGGAAAAAGACTTGTACGTGGGTGGATTGCAATGCCCACTTGTGTGTTTATTAACCAATTAGAAGTTGAGATTTCCTGAAAGTATGCATGAAGCTGGGTAAGCTCTTTGATCCACTTTTTGCACAAATTTGTACAAAATTCAACATTGATAAGAAAGTGGTATCGGGTGTTTGCATTCATGTCTACTGAATTGGGAAAATGTAATGGCAGCTTGACTGACTTCTGTAAAATCTTCTTTCCCCATGTTGTTATAAAAAGTCATATGGAAGTTTCATGTTTTTTCATTATTTATACAGGATGTGGTAGAAATAATGGTAAGACATTAGTTAGATGAAGACACCATTGCCAGTAATGTCTTACCAATATGTGGGAAGTATGTCTGCCATAGCCTATATATAAATATGATACTATAAATAAAAATGTTATAAATTTAATATTCATCATAACAAATATATGCTCGAGAAAAAAAATGAGAGTCAAGCATGTTTATTTAAGAATAAAAACAGAATAGGTATGTTTGAAAGATTTTGTTAAGGTGTTAATTCACCCCAAATAATGTAAAATTACTTATCACAAATATTCATTCACCCCAAGAAATTATAAATTTTAAATCCAAATTTGTTTAGCTTGCCTTATAACAACTACAACCCTTAAAATGAAAAATTACCAAAAATCCAGGAGTTATTCAGATTTCATAAGTGCGAATGATATTCAATGTACTTACAAAGAATTTTTTATAATTTAAAAAAAAAATCTGCTTTTGGCTTGTTTATTGGGGGTGAGCATGAATGGGGACTCCACCCTTAGAAATAGAACACCTGAATCACTCACATTTGGGGAAATCATAAAGGTCAATGAAAGGATCTCACTCTGGTAGGATTTGGTGTGAATTTTAAATATAAATTCTTTTTATTTTGGGGTGAATTAACAGAAAAGATATACCTGCTTAGAAAATATAAATTATTTGTAGTGGAAGAACTGTCCAAAAAGGGTTTTATTTAAGATCATATAAGATGCTTTATAAACTCCCGAAAAAAGAAATATGTCACTGTCTACTAGTACTATAAAGAGAATTGGTTTACATTTCCAACAGATGGCATCAACTGCAAAATCTCAGGAATCAAATAAAGAGAGATGCCTAAAATATGAGGTGCTTCATGATAAAAAAACAAAATATGTGGAAACTATCACAAGAGTTCAGACCTTCTGAAGACTGTAAGATTTTATTATTTGTCAGTGTTTTCTAAATAAAATTGGTGCTAACATATTAATGTTAGTAAAATTTTCAGGATTTATACAGGCAATATATTATCTGATTTTTAGTGAATAATATCCATCCTTATTAAAAATATTGATAATCCCTTGTTTTGTCTTATGCACAAAAAAGTATAACATAAATTTTTATTTATATCTATGATTAATGCCATATTTCATATCCCTGACTAATATATTCTATTATTTTATGTTAATATAGATTCTTTAACATTCTATAACATTTATCAATCTTTCATTCACTGATTTTATTAACTTTTCAGACAGCAGCTTTTATTGCTTCTTAGAGATTGTTGAATATTGTTTTTTTTTTTTATTCTCATCTACATCTGTTTTAGTGATGAACCAAAAGTTTTCTTTGGATTAATATCATCTGGAGAGGTTAAGAGCCATTCTATTAATCTGGTATCATTAAAACATTCTGTGGCATGTGGGACAATAGTCAGCTTTGCAGAAAGTGAAAGAACATTGTTTATATGAATATATTCTTTAAGTTTCTTGGTTATCAATTGTACCACTCAAAAACATTTCACTCAGGAACTTACTATAAGTCTCTGCATTTATCTTGATACCATCAATGATTTTAAAGAGACCTGTAATTTTAACTACTAAAATATTAACCCAAAATATTATCCCACCTTCCCTCTGATGTCTTCTAAGTTGTGTTGGTTGACTTTTTTAAAGTGAAGGACCCCACCCCTATCAGTCCCATCCAATGTTACTCTATATTCACCATTAAGAATTACTTCTAAGAAATTAATTTTCATGTAGTCCTTTACCTAACATATATAACTTTCTCTTTACTTAAACTTCATAGTTTTGTTGATTTCATATCATTAACCAATATTCTTAATATTCTGCATCTTTTCTTTCTGTTCACACCAGATTCTTTAAATATTTTTTGCGGTTCAATCCACTTTTCTTGCTTGTTACTCTTAATTTTTCTTAAAACATTTGTTGTGTTCTTGAAGTCAATTTTTGTTCTTGCCAACATTTTTAATTTCTTTTTTAATTGATCTATGACTTCTGATTGGAAATTACAATTTCCAATGTTCTTTTCCTACCAATGCATAGCTTATTTTTTATAAAGTGAAAACAGATGAAACTCACATGGTATATTTATCATACAAACATATAAAACTCATATCAACATCAGTTGGTTAATACCAGTTTTATTATGAAAACATTGACATGCATAACAAAATCTGACAGTGTAGTCTGAAATATTATTTCCTCAAAGGAATAATAATCTTATTTTTCAAAAATTAATTTTGCCCTCACTGCAGAAAATGACCAAAATGTTCTGAGAAAAAGGCAATAAAAAATGTATTGGGTACTGAAAAATTCTTGGTCTGTTCAAGGAATTATGAAGAAGGTTCTAATGTTTGATCAGATATTGATAAGTGGGTCAGATCAAAATATTTTCAACAATCTCTCATACTGGTTGTCAGAGTACAAATTTAAATCGTATACAGAGTCTATAGGCCCATATTAGGCACAAAATGGTTAAAAGGAAGTTTGCAAATCAATGCTGAGGATCCATAAACCATGTGTGTGTGTGCACATTATGTTCAAAAACTGCTTTGAATTGGCTTCTTTTTTTTTTTACTTTTTATCATTGTGCATTACAAATTAAAATGGATGACTTTATCTCTCATTACCGTAGGAGTTTTAGTGCCTTATCTAAACATGAGTTCTACATTCTTGTGTGGATGTAAGAGATTCATCTTCTCTCTGGAATAGATATTTATATATTCACCTATCATACAGTTTTTCCACATTCTAGACACAACTAGATTGACTATGTGTTCACTGGTTGGAATCAGCCACTGACATCTTGGGAGACGTGGATCTGCACTTGAGTGCTAGGGTTCCATGTTTAAAGTCAACCCGTTGATACAACTGGCTTCTCTGATGTCAAACTATTCTGGTAACATCTGAGTGAGCCACATATCACATGTCCTTACACACACATTATATATATATATGTATATATATATATATATATATATATATATAATGTGCAGTGTATGTTTCCAAGCCAGATTAGTCAAAATATGTGATAAACATAGAAATAATGAGCAAATTGCCTGGAGGTTTGTAAATGACTTCTTCAGAGAATTATTTACATGATAAAATATTTTAAATATCTGAATAAGTGGTACAGTCGAAGCCATCTGAAAGCAGCAATATACCAACTCTTAATTTTTACTGGCAAATCTTTTGTAGAAGTCTACAAGCCAGTAGTTGTAATCTTCCAATATTTTTCATCTTGGAGTACAAAAAAATTGTGAATGGCTTTTGATGATATATTTTACATTGATTTGGAACAATTAAAGGCTTGAAAATAGATGCTTTATATTAGAAAGTTTGATATGACATATGTTTATAAGTGCAATAACTGAAATTGTGTAATACAAACTTTTTCATGTCTGGTTGTTTCCATTCATTGAGTCGCCATTCAAGCTGCAGTCTTTGTTGTTCACTGGAAAAGACCAAATTAAACAGTTCCAAAAAGAATCAGTTGGTACCTGGCTGATAAATGCTCTTATAAATACAAACATAAATTGGTAAAGTTTAATCTCTGTGCTTGCAAAGAAATAACGTTTCAAAAGGATGGTTTTTCTCTTGACACTGTTATTACTGTATACTACAGAGACTCCTTTGGTAATGTTTATTTACAAGATTATGAAACTATGTAAACCAAATACAATGTGATATTTATCATTTTATAAAGAAATAAATTTGAAAAATTATTTTATTCAAAAGCTACAAAATTTTCAAAATGTGCAAACTTACTACAATGCAATATTTATTATTTACCATTTTCTAAATAAATAAATTTATCATTTTCTAATTAAATAACTATGAAAACAATTACAGAACAAGAAAATTTAAATAAACATCTGATTTTTCTGGACATTATACATTTTCTTCTCAAATTATTTTATATTTCAGATTACTTGTAACTAAGTTTCCTTCAATAGATGTACATCAAGTGCCTTGAGGGGGTAGTGCTGTCCTGGGTCAAGAGGGTGGCTGCTGGAACACCTTATGTCTAGCAACAGGACTGTGCATCATGCCACACAAACAGCAAAATCCAGTGATGTCTGTCACACAATTTCTGTGACCACATCACCCCTTACATCTGGCCACCTAACTCCCCAGAATGTAACCCCCTAATTATTATGCGTGGGGTGCAGTTGAGCAAAAGACCAACAAAACTGCTTGTAACACCAAAGATGACCTAAAGGCAAAAATTATGGCAAAATCCACCAACTTAAACAAGGAGAACGTCCAGAAGACTTGCAGGAGATTCCAAAGTCGTCTGGTGGGCATAGTTGAAGTCAATAGCGATTTTATTGAATAAATTTACTCTTTAGTATTTCAAGATATTTTTGTGTCATTTTGGTAAATAAGATGAGATGTAAGAAGTATTATTTTCTTTTTTTGTGTAATTTACACGACAATTTATCCATCGCACCCTATATATATGAATTTATGAAACAATATTAAAAAAAATAGATTGAGTAAAATAAATGTTTTACTTTTACACCAAAGAATATTTTTATAACAATTGGTAAAAAAAACATTAACAAAAACTTTTTAACATAAATTATTGCATCTTTTTCTTTCGCTCTGAGTGGCAAGAGTAGGAATACAATTGTGTGGATTGTGGAATAATGACTAGTTAATAATGTCTGAATTTAATTAAAATATTAACAAGCTTGTTCATAATTTCCATATTAATGGATATTATTTCATTATTGTTCTTTCAAAGATTTGTTTTGAGAGGCTGTTTGCAGCTTGTTACCGTCTGTTGGAGACAGACACAGCATTGAATATAATAACAGAACCAAGTAATTAAATTAATTTTTAAAAACCATCCTATTTCTTTAATCAACACTGTGAAAGTGAATTAGTATCAAGACTAAAGGTAAAAAAGTAAAAATGTAAATTGTTCTTTTAAGGTACCGTGAAACTAAAAATTGATGTAGTTTTCCGAAATGAAAGCAAAAAAATCACTACTCACAGTTCTTAAAAAAAATTATAAAAAAAATCAGAGAATTATACAAAATCTTAAGCACTTATTTATTAATGAATGAATTGTATACAAAAGATAATTTTTCTTTTTTTATTAGAAAACTTGAAAATATTTTTTGATCAGTTTAAAAACCACCACCATTTCGAATTGGAGGATGATGATGATGACATGTCTTATAAAGATATAAAGAAAAAAATCTTTATATGAAAAATTCCTACAAAGAAAAATCCCTAAGATATTATTTCCAGTAAAAGATTTTGAAATATCAAATCAGAACATAAAATTGATCCTGAACTCTTGCAAAAATAATTCAATAAAACTCAAAAAATAATTTTGTTTCAAGAGTTTCTTCTCTTTTCAGATTTAACAGGAAAAATTCGACAATGAATATTTATTTTTGAAAATTTACTTGTAATTTTTCAGTATGAGTTTGAAATTTTTCTGGTTGCTGATGACAAAGGAGATCTGTTTTAAAAATGTGTTTGAAGAATCGAAAAATGTAAAGAATGCCATTTTTGAGTGTGAAATATTTTTAAAAAAGTATTTATTTTTATTCTATATTTCTTTTTGCACCTGTTAGTCACAGGAATTGAAATAATTCAACAATTCTGAATTTAATTATCTACCTATGTTGGTTATATGAAGTTAAAAAAGTAATTATGCTTGATGTCTGGGGGTGCCTAAAGTTTTTTTTATGACATTTTTGTAGCTGAAAGTTAAGCAATCAATTCAACAGTCTATCACTGTTTTTCCCATTATTCTTTTTAGTGGCACTTTGTTTCATTTAATAAATTTTCTTAAAATAATTCAAAAGGTCTAACTTGTTGCTGCAATTAAATATGTTATGAGATAATAAATGCCGAATAGTTAAAAAAGAAAATAAAAATAAAATGGGTTAAAAAAATAAATAAAAAATATATATTATTTTTAGAAAATATAATTTTTATTTCTATAAATATTTACTAAGTTTCATAAGGCCTATGAGATAAAAAAAAAACAACTTCTTAAAGTTAAAATTATTTTTAAACGTAAACAAAATCAGATTCTGTATTTTGGTAGTTTTGGTCCTTCGTATTTTTAATTAACTTTGAGGCAGGCTTTTTTTTCTTTTTTTGTTTTGTTTTAAAGTCGTTACTGCGTTACTTCTATGAACTTGTTGACAGTTGGATATATACCTTGCTGTTTTATGTAGTTTTCTATATTTTAAGCCGAAGCGTAGAGTAAGCAATATGCTCACAAATTTCTGTTGTTAATCATTAATTTTACTAATTTTCTTTGAAACAAATATCTAGGACAGATTTGATATTTTTTAAAATGTCTGCTAAGAAGCTTCTTTTTGGCGAATCGGTGATAAGTTGACCATAAAAGAAAAAGAGTAAAGAACGTTTTAAAAATGTCTTAAAAACTTCATTGAAATACGTAAAATAATTTTTCTTTTTAATTAAATGTTTATGTAAACATATATATATATAAGCTCTGATTAGTTTTTATTTATCTTTATAAAATAAAAATTTTGCTAAAAAGAAGACATCATTTTTTTTTAAAAAAAAAAAAAAAAAAGCTTAAACCGTAAATGCGGTTTTTTTATCTCCACCAAAAAAAACTACATTTGTTTTTTTGTTTTTTTTAGAAAGAAATCAGGAAATATTTTTATTTTTATTTTCTCAACTTTTCTGACATTGGTGGTAGAATAAGATTTTCCTGGTTTGATTTTTCACTAACACCCAAAGACATTTAAAAAACAAAAACAAAACAACAACCAATGCCCCTTTTGTGATAGTTTTCTAAGAAAACTTTTCTATTTATTTTCATTTGGATTCTAAATTCCTAAGTGCCGACATTGCATTTAGAATAGAAAAAAAAAATAAGCAAAAACATGGTAAACATTAAAAGTTAAAACAAAGATGAAATGAAAGAAACATCTTTTTAAAAAAATGTAATTTGTGTTCAACTATAAATTGTGTGACAACTGCCACTGGGCCTGGTATTAATAAGGACTAAATAGGACATATTTAGATACAAAAACAAACCTTTCTCGTACTACCGTAATCAAATTTTTCAATCGTTCATAGAATTCATAATCATATGAATCCATGATGCCTCCACGGTTGCTAACCAATTTAACGGTGAACACCTACAATAATTCTCTATGTACTATAGACCCGTACATAAGAAATGAATTCAGTAAAAATAAAATTATTATAATGAAAACGCAGTTTAAAATATGAATGAGAAAGAAATAATTCTACACAAGTATTTCGGAGTTAGGTAGGCCGAACTGATACTGCAAGGTTGGTAACGTTTACAAAATGTTTCAAGTTTATAAAATAAATAGTGAAAAAATAAAAAAGTATTTTTTTTCAAAATGTCCGTGTATTTAAATTTCACTTCACTCAGTAATTAAATAAATACATATTCATGGTAAAAATCAAAAAAATTAACAAATTTCACATTTTTTCACAAGTCAACTTTTGTATTAAAATTAGAAATATTTTAAAATTTTTTTCAAAACTTCGGTTTTGTTGACTTGACACAAATTTCAAAGCCATTTTGGAGAATTGTAGCGAGGTTGGTAAATAAAAATACCAATAAATAATTATATAGACCACTCGAATGGAAGTTTTAAAACGAAGTCGGCATTAAATGATGATGCCTTATAAGTTATACATTTATGGGATTGGTAGCAAAAATATTCCGTTCTCTCATGACTTTCCCCATTGTGTTTTTAGTTTGGGGTGCTTCAGGCAATGACCCTGACCCACCTCTTTTGAGTGCAGTGGGAGTGGTGTAGCTTTGCAGAAAGAAAGTTTCACAGACAGCAAATAGCGATGATATCAACAATTACGTTTTATGACATTAAATGGGATTTGCTGCCATCTCCGGTTATACAAGAAAGAAATATAAGAAAAAAGTCAGCGTCAATAATGATTACACTGCATAAATGTACATTTGTATTTTTTATCAGATAATCATTTGAAAAAACGTTGGGATAGTAGTACACATTTTTAAAAGGTTCTCAGAAAGGGACAATACAACTAATTTCAACGAACTATATTCTCACTTGGCGTATGAACATTTCAAAAAGAAATCACAACTGTCGTGTTGTGTTCGCCTTTCAGGAAGTTTGGATGTTTTTCTTCATTTTATTTTTATCTCTCACAATATGTGGAAGCTTGTAAAAAATTTAATTTGATTTTTTTTAAACACTTGACCTTATAATTATTCGTACTTTTATTTTAAATTATAAACATGAAAAGTAAGTCATCACATAGTAAGACGGCAGCTTTATTTGAAAAACGTCACGTCATTCAAAAACTTATTGATCGGGCACAGGCGAAAAAAATGAACCTAAATAGGCAAAAGACACATTTCTACCGAAAAAAAAAAGCTGTTTTAGAGGCAACCATACATCGATTATACAACGATTTGAGACGGCTGGAAACTCTTCAACGAAAACAACTTTATGCAACGACTACGGAACTGTCTTCTCATTGTAAGTCTTTGAAAAAAGACTTCACTTTCCTTGGTTCTTCATTAGGTTCATTGTCTTCATCAGATGATGATGTTAAGACCCTTGAGTTCAACCAGAAACTAAAAGATGCTATGGTGACCCATTGGCCATCGATGCTTTTTTTCAACGTTTAAAAATCACCCAAGTTATCTTTTATGAAAGAACACTATCATCAACCTGACATTTCCAAGTGCGAATACCGTGTTGGTCATTTTTAAGTACAAATCGAGCAAAATGTTATTTTACTAAGTTTATATTTTTACTCTTTGTATTTTTTTTTTGTTCGTCAAAAGCTTGGTTTTTTAATTTAAATTTAAAAATAATCTTCTAAATAATGTTGTTTGAAGAATGAAATTTCATAAAAGAAAATAGACAAAATTACAGGACAAAATGTCGCTAAAAAAATATAATGGCGAGAATTGTCGGTATTTTATTTCCAGCAATCAACATTTCCTCAAACAAAAATGATCATTATTTTGATTCAAAATAATGATTACTCTACACACCAGTTTTGAAATATTGCCAAAAAGTGCCAATCAATTTAAATGTAAATATTTTTAAAAACATTTTTAAAAATCTAAATTTGTAAAACTGTTAAATTTGTATTAACTGTCATTCTGTTAATAATTAACAGATTATTACTAATGACACTAAAAATAATCTATTATTTTGTCACTTTTAGATTTTTATTTTTTTCCCTTCATTCAACAAAATTCATTATTTTTTATGAAAAAGCTTTTGATGTTTCTATAAAGGTTGATATTTTGAAACTATTTTGTCTTTTTGTTTTATTTCAGAATTAACGAAAAACGTCTTACTCTTGGTCTTAATTATCAATTCTTCACTGAATTTTTTTTATCGAGTCCTACTCTTCAAACAAGTTTTTTAAAACTTATGAATGAATCTCTGATTAGTGATTAAGACTGAATTTGATTTTATAATTTTCTACAAGTTGCAAAGTTTCGTAGTTTATTTATTTGGGCATAAAAACAAAAAGCATGTGATTGCAACGGAATTTTTGCTTTCTACTTTTAATTTAAGTCTTAAAAATTGTTCATTTAAATTTAAAAACATTTTACTGTCGTCTGAAGGAGTGGTCCAATGGAATATGGTGATTTCATCGATCAATAACAGTGTTTTCGCTAAGATTTCCTTCTTTTATGTGTCATGTCCCACCAAAAAGTGACTGATCATGGCTCTCTTAACTTTGTTTTTGTTGCTCTAATTAACTTGTTTAGCATCCCTTTTTGTCCCTGCTCTACCATCCATTCACACAAACTCAATTAGATATGTTACTCGCTGATTCTCCTTGCTTCTCTAGCATTCAGTTATGTCCCGTGAGTGTTTGTTAATTGTCAGTGTCACTGATTCTAACTCTTCTTTTAGTTTCTATTTTCCTTAAAACTTCCTCATTGCTCATATGTTCAGTCTCTTATTATCAGCATCTGTTGGTAAAACTTTGTTTCTACCATTGTATCTCCATTAATTCACTATAAATTTTCGATACCTAAGGTTTAAAATGAATTTTTAAAAATGAAAATGCATTCTTGAAGAGTTGTTTTTAGCTTTAATTGAAAGCTAAAGCATTAACTTGACTATTTCCAGTAGGTAAAATACTGCTTTATTTCAAATAGAAATTATATAGATTGAAATGTCAGATATTTGCTCTATTTCAAAAAATATGTTTGCTGGTGGTTATTTCTTACATTTCAAAAAGTTTTAAAATAAAATCTAATTATCGATTTTAAAAATCTTCCAAAAATAAAATATATATTTGTGTGACAGAGACAGTCTCATAAACACACACACACACGTATATTTTCTTTTAGTGAAATTGGAGTGGATTTGAACAGTGAAATTATGATCAGCCGGGTTTTTCTATATAAACGTGTAGTTGTGCTGAAAAAGAGGTAGACAGAAGAGAATTAGCCCAGGCAAGAGTTGGGCTAGAGACAGTGGAGAGTCGAGTTGGAGACTCAAGAAGGAAAGAACATGTCATCAGAGATTGGAACAAAGCGTCCGCTAACATGTGCTGTTGATATAAGTACCGCTCCTTCAGAATCCAGTGTATGCATTTATTGTCAATTACTTTTCTTTTCTGTAACCCGTTTCTTTTCTATACTATTCTTTTCTGCTATATAAAAAACATTAACAATTCAATCATTGTATAGTTGGTGGTCTGGCTTTCTGCATATATTAATTTTTTTTTTTGAATGGATGAACATCATTTCTGCTTTCTGGATCAAACCAAACACAAAGTGGGCAGAAAGCAGGATTAAACCAGTGGACCAGTTGAATAATCTACGGATGCTCAGGGGACCTACGGCCACTCCCTTAAGTTTGGTTAGGACCAAGTAGACACTTCAACCCCGAGAGTAAGACGCAGGAGGTTGAGGGGCTGAGGCGAAAGTGTTAGACTTGTGCTGTGTTGACCAGGATAGACCCGTGGGAATTACCACGGCCATCTGAAAGAGGAGAGAAGGTTGCATTTGTTTTGTCCAGTCGGGACTGAGCAAAAACAGAAAGGACTCTAGTGTTTGGACTATATTGGTCTAAAAAAGACATAAGGAGGAAAAGACAAGGAAGCAAAAGGAGGAGGGAAAAGAAACAAAACACGGAGCGGCGGACCTCAGGTAAGTCACTTTTTGGTTTCCTTTGTTTGCTCATTGCACTTAGATCTACCAGTAATATTGTTGATCATGTTTTGACTTTGTACGCAGTTGAAGCGCCACCACCGTGTTAAGTATTTTTCCTTTCGTTCTGTCATTGGTCTCTCTTCTCGTAGGAAAGTGGTAATTGACAAGACGCTAGGATGAGCGTAGCAGGATCAGATGACCTTGGGGACGTGGGAGTCCCCGAAATATCGATGGCTTTCAGGAGGCTGATAGGTAGCATGAAGCTACCTACTTATAAAGGAAACCCTGTGGACTTGCACGAATGGATTCAGTCCATTCAGAAAAAGCAGGTGATCTATGGCCTCTTGGACCAAGAAATGGTGCCCCTAGCTTATGACGCCGCAGCGGGGCAGATGTCCAAGTTCATGGGGGTGGTACAAAGAAAACCTGGCCCTGATGTACACTGAGCTTAAATCCACTCTGGTGTGGCAAGGGAGCATACAGCCATTGAGGCAGTCGGGAAATTATTCCGGCTGCAGCAACAAGAAGGAAAGACTAATGAGGAATTGGGGGAATGAATCGCAGGGCTAATGGCGTTAGCTTTTCTGGAGTTGTCGACTGGAGACAGTGGTCCTATTCAGGCCTTGTTGGCCGATGTGGACACACTGAGTGACAGGAACCTGAGGGGCGATGTTCTGAAGTTGGGACCGGTCAGCCATAGAGGCAGCTCGGACCAGTGAACGACTTTGGGATAGAAAAACTGGGGGGTAGGTAGGAACCCTGAGGAGAGGGGGAGATCCAGATACGGGACCCGAAAGAAGAGGTGGAAGAGGACTGGAAGGCTGAAGTGGTTCCCAGTAGGTGAGCCTGGGATCTGCATTATGGGTTTCACAAGCCCACACCGGGCTGATATGGGCTGGTGTGTTGGACTTGCAAGTATGGTAGACATCAGGCCCGCGATTGTCCAAC